ACAATCATACGAATGTGATACATATTACAAAACGAATTGTAGTTAAACTCTAGAATTATTCAAATACTAGATCGCGTATTTTTGTTAACCTCATAATGATTCGAGCATTGATAATTAAATATTTTGTGGTGTGAATATAATATCAGGTGAATATTCAAATATTATATGTTTTATTTCTTCTATATAATCATAAGTCAACATTACAACAATAACAAGATTTGTATGGACGTAAAGTAGTTGCTCGAATTTGATGTGGGAATAGCAAGTTCTCTGACCAGCATAGGGCGGTATGTCAGCGCCGATCGGGCCTTAGGGTACATGGTCACAGCCGTACTTAACTGTGGATGGCAGAAAGCCTGTTCACTAGGTTAAATATAATATTTTCGGATGTTCTCCATGGTTATGTTCACTTTTGACTCTAGATTTACATCTGTTATGACTTGATTCGTTCAGTGTCGTCGATTCTTGGATGTAAGTTTTCCTAGGCCCGGCTGACTAGAACCCTACCTTGTTCTCGCAACTCGTGTTAGATCTAGGTCCAGGAGTGCCGAGAATGGATTGTCTTATGTCGGGTTTTAAGGGCTCTTAATGTGGTCAGGAAGTAGCAGATGTGGGTCCCCTGCGCGAACCTATTTTAAAGGTGTAACTTAACTGTAGCACTATCGTATGCGTCCATTCTGATAGAATATATTACAATTATAGTTCCAACTGGGTTAGTCTTCAATAATGAGACTAAGATATTTATCTTCTTTCTTTATCCAATTTTCATACTACGAGGGAACTACGAGTCGGTATCCAGGTATAAGTCGACGCGTGCACGCGACGAAGGTGACCTCCGACAGCATCCAACGAATCTTACAGCTGGGTTCCTGATAGTTCTAATATTAAGAAGTTATGTATAACATTAATTTCAATCATAAGCATGTAAACATTGTAACAGAAACATTATTATAACAAAGAGCAAAATCCAAGTTTCTTGCCCGTATCTTCTTGGTCGTAGATAGGGTTCCGAACGGGTGGTAAAGTCATTTAATATTAAATTCATTTAAAACACATAACGAATCGAATAACGCTGCTCACGTAATAAAACCGAAAAATAAATAACTTCATTTGCGGCTCAATCCTTGTTTTATTTCTTACTACTATTTCCTAGATAATAATCAAGTAGGCTTCATATTTTGCAGTAGGTTATTTCTTACGTATAAATCGTAACAACGTAGAGTCCTAGACGATCACTTGGCCATCACAACGACATATATACGTAAGCATTAGATAGGGATAGTTAGGTCTGTGTTACGACCGTCTGTCGTCACTCAGTGTAGGTTATGTAGGGTTAGGGTTAGGGATGTTACAATACTGGTATTCACAGCGTGTCAAGAGCGATTTAAATATGTGTTGCGATTTAAATGTGTGTAAAAAAAAATACATAATAACAAACGCAGCTTTGTCGCCCAAGTACATTTTAACTTTTTAGCCATGATTTTAAGAGTCAATAAAGTTTGAAAACATATAAATAAAATAAAAACAATTGAGCAAATTTTGACAAAGACATAATAGCATTTAAATATAGTTAGAGGATTAATCTATAATAATGTTTGGAAGAGGAAAATTACTGTAATAATAATAATAAATTATTAAAAGTTTATAGATCGTACATTGGATATATTTAGTGCAGACACCGCGGAATGTTCGAGAATAAGTGTAAGTATACATATTCATAAAAGAAACAAAACAATACCGATATTCTACGCATGACGTTCCATTTTCAAATTGCTTATTTTTATTTTTAAATACATTATAAGGCTAGTCACAGTTTTTTAATCTACTGCTCATTCGGAAAGCAGTCTCATCACAAGAAAATCTTGAAAATTTGCTAACGCAAATAAATAAGTTTTGGTAAATACAAATATAAAGGTAAATACATATAATAAAACTGTTATCTGTGTACAAATAGCTGATTGAAACTGAATGACTTTGGCCCACATTTTTTTGTAACACAAGCACCTTATATGTAAAGATAAGCGGCGTATTTCTTAAATTATACCTACAGCTAGTGATGCCCGGGATATAGTATGTGTACACATTTGTAGATATCTATCTGTTGATGATGATTAAATATAAATAATAAACAAAATATATATGACGTCATCTAACATTTGCTTATTGAATTAATTGCAATAATAATAATGATTACCATGGATATTGCACACAGCGCCATCTAGTCCTAAGCTAAAGCAGAGCTTGTGTTATGAACACTAGGCATATGATATAAATACTATTTTTTTTTGTAAATACATACATAATATACATAGAAAACACCCAGACCAATGCAAAGAATTATACTAATTAATACAAGTGTTTGCATCTTGTAAATAATTGAACTCACTACCTTTGAAAATAAGGCGGCGTGCAGGACCACTAGAACAACGAGGCCGTCAATTAATAAAACTGTAGGTGGCATATTGAAACTATTCATAAAATTAATTACTTTTCCCTTTGTATGTGTTTTCTCAGCTTTCTATAGTCAATATTGATTCATAATTAACATCATATTATGTGACAAACATTCTAATGCCTACAACGTTTCTACATATAACTCTTTCTTTTTTTCTTCTCGCTTCGTCCTGATGTTACGATGTTCTTAAATCTGTACCAATATCCATACTAATATTATAAAGCTGAAGAGTTTGTTTGAACGCGCTAATATCAGGAACTTGTGGTGCGAATTATTTTTGTGTTGGATAGTCCATTTGTCGAGGAAGGCTTTAAGCTATATAACATTAAACTACGACCAATAGGAGCGGAACTGCAATGGAAAATATTGCAAAAGGTGGAGAAAAGAGAACGAACGCAGACGAAGTTGCGCTGGTCAGCTAGTTATAAATAAAGAGGTAAATTTGTGGGTAAATTGTTTTACAGAAGGCACGTAGCTTAATTTGTGAGTATCATAGGCTATATAACATCACGGTCCGACCAATAGGAGCGGAGCAGGAAAGAGACATGTTGTAAAAACGGACAAAATGTGACGCCGACGAAGTTGCGTAGTAGAAAGATAAAGCGAGTGTAAATATTACGGTGTTGCCACATCTGTCACTATTTTATAATTGAATATAATAATGATTACCATCATTTACGTGAAATTATGTAAGCTACGCCAACGTACTTATGGTGTTTATGTTACAACAAAAAAGGTAAATACAGGAACTTGTAAATTATTTTTATTACAGGTGTTGGAATTCATTTTAATAATTCAGGGTCGTATAAGAAGGTTGTCTGTATAAAAATATTAATAATAGTATATGATCGCTGCTTTTTGTATTGTTACTGTATTCTATACTTATAATCCGTGCATTGTAACATGACATAATTGACTGTGTTCAAAATAATTAACTGTAAAAAATATTACTTCTGATTAAATAAAAAGATTACTAGATTGGATTCCATTTTTAAATTATCACACAATATATATACATATAATAAGAAATGTAAAAGAAATAACTGTCTCACTCTATTTTATTCATGCCATTAGGCGCCATTCGCACCATGTTACAATGCGCGGAGTATAATATATTGAAGGAAGTAAATTCAGTTTTATTTAATGGTACAATTCTACTACTATATAATGGTTTTATATGAACACACACATAATATAGTCTGCACCTATTTTAGCTTTCGTAATCGTCCTATACAAAAACAATTATTTAGTGAAAAAAATTGTATGTAAAAATATGAATTTTCTGTAATTTTACGGATCGTGGGCGCAATTATTAGTTACATACATATAATATATAAAAATATTCGTGACCAAACATTCATTTTATTCATTATTTTAACTAATGCATTATAGTGCTAGTAGGTAGTTTTAATGTGTGAATACAACACATTAAAACTTAAAAATGTGAAGTTACAACTGAATTATTTAAAAGAGCAATACGTAATTTTCTTACTCTTCTTGTGATGAGACAGCTTTTTAAACGAGTAGTAGATTAAAAAATAAGTAATGACTATTCACAATCGAATATTCTTTATTCAAATAAACTTACATTTAAGTATGTTTATTTGAATAAAGAATATTCGGTTCTATGTAAGTTTATTTGAATAAAGTATAATAAATATTTTTTAAAATAATAAATGTAACACAACTTTTTCATTTACTTTTGTTTATGTTTAAAAAAGGTAAATATTTTATACGTGTTTACAACATTCGAGGATTATCACTGGCCGCTTGTTATCTGTCACTGCGTTGGGTTGAGGTAGATATCCTTCAGAGATAAATCCACATTTGCTCACGTTAATCATCAAACATCATAATGCAATAAAGGTTCAATATAATCATATGACGAACCTCTTTGTTGATATTAAATGCAAACGTATCATAAACCGATTTCAGTTATAGAAGTGCTTTGTCCTTTACTTATTAAAAAAAAACAGAAGATACATACAAATTTCAGTTTGAGGTATTAAATATTTAACTATGTTTAAGATTTCAAGACATTATGTGATTAACTGAGTCCACGACTTTGTTTCCTTATAACTTTTTTGTGTGAATTCTTACCATGATTCAATAGTGAAAACCGCATCCAAATCGATTAAGCCGTTTTTCAGATTAGCGCGCACAACAGTCAAAAATTCTAAGAACAATTTTTTTACGTTCTATTAAGTTGATAAAGTGTATCAATATTAGTTCTTCTCATATATCTTCCATGTCAGCGGTCAGTCATTTTAGACTAACTGTAACCCGCGTCGATGTTTTTTTTTTATTAAATATATAACTTTCTAAAATGAACCTAAGATACTCCTTATAACATTAGCGATCTGCAACTGAAAATCCTGTCTAAATCGGTCCAGCCATTTGAAATTAGCAAGAACAAACAGACATACAAAAACTTTTTAAATTTATTATTTTATGTAAGTACTGTATATACTTTCATATGCATTTAGTGACGCTGTTAATTTGAAATTACAAACGCATTAATTTAATTAGAGAAGGTAATACTTACATCTTGGTAAGAATGCGAACAGCAAACTCGTCAGCGCACACGTCAAGTAAGTGGCCACTAACGTCTTCTTCCTTCCGTATTTATCCAGCACGATAACCACCACAATGTACGCTGGTATCTCCACCAGCACCACAAGCATAAAGCTCACGTATCTATGACTGCTCAAAGACACGGAATTTATCGACAGTCCATAATAAACTAGAGAGCATGTCAACCAAAGGAATGAACATATCAGCAACCTCTTCCAAATTATACTCGAACGCAACGCTTTCGAGAACTGCGACTTTTTGTCTTCCGTCTGATTCTTCGGCTTCAACAATGGATCGCCCAATGCTTCTAACTCCAGGTTCCGTTCATCAAGATTGTTAATTTTTGCTGCTCTTTTTAATACTCTTATAGCTTCATCTCTCCTGCCTTTGCTTAATAACCATCTGGCGCTTTCGTTCGTGAACCATATGTATATGACAACGATGATCGCAGGACAATATAGAATTAGGATGTATGTCCGCCAGTTGTCCACGACCCATGCAAGTAAGGCTATTAATACAACACCAATGACGAAAGTCATGTTGCACATGGCGGAGACTATGACGCGCTGTTTCAGCCCAACTAATTCGACAACTGAAAAAGGAAATCTTATTTAATACTAGCTATACGGACGAAGTCACGGACTTCGTCCGCGTGGAATTTTACTTTATTTTTCTAAAATAAAAGTAGCCTATGTTACTCCTTATTACATCAGCTACCTGCCAATAAAAGTCCCATCAAAATCGGTCCATTCATTTCAGAGATTAGCCGGAACAAACATGCAGACAGATGGACAGACAAAAATTGTAACAAATGTTATTTGGTGTATGTACCGTATTTATATTCATATTCATGTGGAGAATACAGTTATTTCAATATTACAAACAGACACTCCAATTTTATTAATATGTATAGATATCTTTATATTTTAAAATAACTTTATTAATGTCATTTATTTAAGTAGAATCTGTATAATCAAAATAAAAAGTATCTTTATTTAATCTACCGTCAGTTCGGAGCGCTTTCGAGCTGCGAGGAACTGACAAGAAACTCACCAGACCATTGGAAGTAAGGCGGTGTGCAAAAACGCTAAAACATCGAGCTCGTCAAATTACACACGAAAGCATAAAAATTACTATTCAAACATTATTTCTTGGCAAAAGTACAGTTCAGTCAATGAATATTACTGACTTTATGATTAATTCTTTAATAAGTACTCTTTAGTACGTAGGTACAAATGCGATGAAGGCAATATTTGTACACATATACTAATTTTATATTCTGTTTTTAAACGCAATTTTATGACTAGCATAATAATAATAATATTGAGGTAGGTATGCTCTATTGACGTCAGACAATACACACTGTATGCGGGGGAAGGGAATTGTTAGTAATGTGACTGATGACCCCATTGCTAGCAATATACAATGTCGGTTTTATCTCCACGCGGTTCCCCCCGGAAACCATCGGGATAAATTTCTGGTGAATTTACCACGTTGGGACAACTGACCTGACCTCATGCTCATGTTATCATCCTCCACTTGTGCCCCGCCACCGTAAACCGTTAGCGCAGGCGGGTGCAACATTCCATTATCATTCATAAAAAAAAATACACACTATATGGGGGAAGTGAATTGTCAGTAATGTGAACTGATGACTCCATTGCTAGCAATATAAGATGTCAGGTTAATATCCACGCTTTTCGTTCTCTCTGGAAACCTTCAGGATAAATTCCTGGTAAATTTACCACGTTGGACTAACTGACCTGACCTCATGTTCATCCTATCATCCTACACTGGTGCTCCGCCAGCGAAAACCGTTAGCGCAGGCGGGTGAATCATATCATTATCATCCATATAAATATACACACTATATGACTATAATTAGCATAAGTCAGTAAAGTGATTTATCATATAGTGTTCTGTTTTTTCTAAATGAGTCGCGTAGGTATCTATTTCTTATTTATCAATGTTTTAACTTATATGTTACGTTTATTTTTATATTTCATTTATTTTATTTATAGACTACACAATGGCTTGATGTTAAAATCATGTATGTATATAAAAAAGTGCTCTTTTAACAGAAATCCAATCGAGTTTTTTGCAGTTTTCCTAAATTACTATAACCAGAATTTTATAAGATAGAAATAGTAAAACAAAAAAGTTTCAAATTATCATAAATGCTCTATCTATTGTTAAAAACTGTATTAAAATCCGTTGCTTACTTTAATAAGTCAAAGTAAATACAGCGGAGGCGACATCATTTTATATTATGTAGAGATACAAGATTTATACTTACTAAAAACATATGCGGAAGGGTACAGTCCACCACCCAAGCCAGCCTCTAAGAAATGTAACGCCACATAACTTAAATAATTCGGTGCAAATGCTCTGGAAAAACCAAATATCAAGCTGGCACATGACGCGAAACCCACTGCCACTTTCCGTCCAAATCTATCTGAGATAGCGCCAGTGAACAGCATGGCTAAGAACATTCCAGAATTGTGTATAGTCCCAACCAATGCTCTCTTCCATTCTTGACAACCCAAATTGAACTGTAAAAGAATGATACCTTTAGATTGTTATTTCGTTGCACTTCAAACCGTACATGAAAAACAACAAAAACGGTTACCAGTAAGAATAATATACTATTTCAGTAGTATTTATTATTAATTTTAGAACATTAATAAGGGAAATTCTACTATATTTTCAAACATATTAAATTAGACAGTTACCTAATTGTCTCAGTTACACTATGTAATTTACAAAATGACCCGTCATTTGTAGGAATCGGTTCAGCTATTAGTTCTTTGCGGTGGAATGGTACCACGTGCGCTCGCAAAACATTACCCTACTTTACAGAAGTTGGACATTTATAATTATATTCTCGTAGTTATAAAATGCACCCAGAATAATTATTCCGGATGCCCTTTTTTGCTTTTCGGATAAGGTTGATTCCATTATTTAAACAGTCCTTAGAAATATAAGTTAATTTTTTCTTAAAAAAAATCTGATAATTTAATTTTACAAAATTAACTAAATATTTTTTTTCCTTTAATTTATTTTTGCTCCGTTTTATACGCAACGTATTTTGTTCTATTCTAATACTGTTGTACGGCCACTTCTGGCCTTATTCATTTATGCGATATGTTTTGTAACATATACAATAAAAATAAGATGTAAAAATTATTAATTATGTATTATTATTATATATAAATAAACATATAATAATTATTATTATTATATATAATCATGATTTAAGAAGAAGTAATTTATTATATTGGGCATCTGAAATGTATCGTTATCATTTATTATTGATGAAATATATTTAATCAATGATAAATGATTTCAACATTTGTTGCATATAAGGACGATAAGATAAATACGTGCTTATCTATATCACCGATACTATAATTAATATATATATATATATAGTTTAATGTATATAATACAATTAGAAATAATATCCCTTCATATTCATTCAATATATTATAGGTGCAGTAGAAATATTTTAATATCTCGGCTTGTTCTATAGTATAACACGTATGTATTATACATACAAACGTACCTCTTGAATCACTCTATGTAATGCTGAAAACTGCATTAAAATCCGTTGCGTAATTTATAAGATATAAACGAACAGACAGCGACGGCGACTTTGTTTTATATTATGTAAAGATAGTTTATTTAAATATAGGATAAAAAATTTATTTAACTTTATCTAAACAAAAACATAATACAAATATTAATTTGTCAACTGTCAAATTTTATACTACAACAGTGGCAATCAAGCATACGGCTCATCTGATGGTAAATGGTTACCGTAGCCTATGGACACCTGAAACTTCAGAGGCGTTACGTGCGCGTTGTATTATGAAACCTTAATAAACACCCATCTATACTCACAAACTTTCGCGTTTGAAATATCAACTAACTACGCGCTCCGGCTTCGCCCGGGTGTACATGTATTATACATATACCTTCCTCTTGAATCACTCTATCTATTAAAACAAACCGCTTCAAAATCCGTTGCGTAGTTTTTAGCATACATAGGGACGGACAGACAGCGACAGCGACTTTGTTTTCTGCTATGTACTGATGATAAGATATAGCTTGTATTTTATATTCAGCGAAATATATTTAATTTAAATAAGTTATCAAACAAACCTCTTTTACAAACGAGCGCCCTTCTTCGTACACGAATGTTTCACAAGGCAGTGTTTTATTTGTGGAGAAATCTTCAGGTAGACACTGCATACTGGTGTTACTGACCGGAGCAAATCTTAGGCAGCTCTCCAGCTTATTATTCTTAACGTCTGTAGGTATGGCGTATTGTATCCAAGACGTGTCATTGAACCTCTGTTCACAACCGTATACTTCACACCTAAAAGAATATAAAAACATTACAATAGCGAAATGACGGCCTCGGTGGTCTAGCGGTATAGCACACCACCTTAGTTCCGATGGTCGCGGGTTCGATTCCTCGTACGTTACAAATATTTGTATTCATGAGTATGATTGTTTGTATCGATCTGGATGTTTTCCATGTATGTATTTAAGAAAAAAATATCGATGTATGTCTATTAGTTATCTAGTACCCATAATATAAGATTTAGCTAGCTTAACTTGGGTCTAGATGGCGATGTGTGAATAGCGGGAAATAGCCTTGTGGCTTAGTGGTTTATGACCCCGATTTATTTTATCAAGATCGTGAGTACAAATTTGGCTCACAATTTTTTCTATATATCCAGTTTTATGACTTTTTTCGAAAATTTTAGTAATAAACCGAAATTGACCCCTAGGGACATTTGAACTCTGCCACAATGAACTTGACAGTCTCTGATCACCCACCTAGGTATAAAGTCGTGGAGATATGTTATTTGTAAATTCTCATATGATATAATAATAACAACCCTGGAGATTATGCGAATATAGTAAAAAAAAATTATTAGTTTTTTATATATTTCAAATGTATTTAAAATTGTGTCTGTATTGAAAAGATACAGATAACATAATACCAGTAGTAAATTAAATCTATACTTATCTACAGACTATAATAATCCTAAAGGTCGAACAGTCTGTATAGTTTTTGCAAAGATTAACTACAGTATCTATAAAAAGTTAATTAAAAAATAAAGTAATTAGAAACTAATTAAAATACCAAATCCTTTAGCACTGAGCAAACTACCATTTTTTGATTCCACGAATACGAAATACTATAATATAGATATTGACATCATTGCTAGCAATTTGCCATGTTAATTCGACCTCCACGCGGTCACCTCTAGACCCACCGTGATTAATTCCCGGTGAATTCGTCACGCTAGGCTGAGCTAACTTCATGGTTATCATATAATCCTTCACTGGTGCTCCGCCAGCGTGTACGGTTAGGACTGGTACATAATTCCATTATCAATTACTAGCTGCGTCCGCGGTGTTACCCGCAACAAATGTATAGCCTAAGTGTTATACATATTATTGTAAAGTTTAATTAAGTTTTTGCGCGAAAGAGTAAAAAACTTTCATCCATATATACTCATTTCAGCGTTTATAATAAGAAAAAGAAATTTATTTCTAGCATTAAAATTATATTAAAAAAATATTATTAGGATATTTAATTGAAGGCGGCAAAAGGACCCGGTTCAGCGTATGCCACAGCATAGCGCTCATGCAACGTAGGCGTTGGTTTTCAACCAGGCTCTTCTACCGATGATAGAAAAATAAAAATATATTAGTAAAATAAGAAAGTTATGAAAACAAAGACCACTCACCTGTACATCTGCTCCTGAGCTTCAAAAATGAACCCGCACTCAAAGAAGCTACTCAGCAGTATTGGATACAGTAATAGTACGAAATTTAATAAGTTATACCGTCCATAAGGCCCAAGGCTTTCTAGTACGGAATCTAGGTTGATTTCTTTCTTTCCTTCCTCCATGTTTAACAAACTTGATCCAACTGATTTTCTGCTCTCGTCAAACTTCGATCAGCTTGTAACCTGCAATAGATTGTAACTTATAATAATAATATATTTATTTATTTCGACGACCTCGGTAGTCTAGCGGTTTAGCACACCGCTTTCCTAACGATGGTCGCAGGTTCATTCCTCTCAAGGCACAAAAATTTGTATTCATGAGTACGATTGTTTGTATCGGTCTGGACGCTTTCTATGTATATTGTGTATGTATTTACAAGAAATATCTATGTATTTATTTCAGTTGTTTAGTACCCATAATACAAGCTCTGCTTACCGTGGACTAGATGGCGCTGTGTTAATTGTCCAGGGTTATTTATTTATTGCCAGAACAATAGACACATACACATACATTTGAATTCGTACAAAGTTTACTTAAAAAAAAATTACTTTTAATTATTTTTTGTATAGTGCTTCATTAAAGGAAACGTTAGGCAAGATCCATCGAGAGTTTAAGTAAGTAAGTAAGTATAGTTACGGTGATATATTTAACTTAAAAGTTCAACACATTAAAATGATAATATTATTGTTAAATGTTGTTGGATGTTTCAATGTTTCAATACTTAATACCATAATTAATTTAATATTCACAATATTAAAGACCAATATTATTAATCAACTAGCTGTGCCCGCGGTTTCACGCGCCTGAAATTTATAGTCTGTGATCAAATTGAAAATCTTACTTATATTATAAACGCGAAAGTTTTTTGAGTATAAACGGATAGATGTATAAACGGATGTTTGTTACTCTTTCAGGCTGAAACTATTGAACAGATTTCGATGAAACCTTACAGGAATATAGCTTATACATCAGAATAACACATAGGCTATAAATTTCATATAGTTAAAACCTTGGGCTCAGCTGGTATAAAACAAAATATCAACACAAGTAATAACTAGTAGTACTGTGGTACATACTCGTACTTGAAATGAAAATTGTCACACGGTTGCATAAAATGAAGCGGTGCCGTGGAATATTATCGCTTTGTTTATCGAAGTTAGGTCAAGTACGAGTAGCTTCATTTGTTAATCAATTTCGAACCATTACTTCAGGTAGACCGTGCCTCTTGCGGCAATTACTGACCCAGTTGGGTTGTAGATAGCATAACATACATAGAATATTTCTGCATTAAGTTTTGTTTGTTTATAACACTTTATATAATAGTAAAGCCACATAGATACCATAGGCTTCGGGTAAAAGTTTATTTATTTTATTTATTTAAACTATATTTATTTATTGCACCAGATCATATAATAATTAAAATAATAAGTTTACATAAACTGATACAAAAGGCGCTATGTTATCGTTTCCAAAGGCAGTCTCAATTAAAATATGAACTTTAAAAACTATAGTTTCCGTAAATAAAGAGATAAATGGTATCCCTACCTGTAGATGATCTTGGGTGACGATAGGTACGTTTATGGTGCAGTAAATAAGTGTTAGTAATAACTTACACTTATTTTGTAAGTAATAACTTATAAATTATTACTTACAAAATAAGTTATTACGTACCTACCGTCACCCAAGATCATCTACAGGTATAAATAATAAATTATAATATTACAAGAAGGAAAACGAGGCCATTAAAACTAAAATTTAACAAAAACTACTTTTCTAATTATGATCTTCATATTCATAATTAGAAAAGTAGTTTTTGTTCGCGATCTATGTATCCTTTTTTATATAATTGAAATCGTAAATACGCTGACTGTCCATCTGATGGTAAGACGTAACCGTCTCCTATACCATGGTGAATTTACCACGATGGGCTAACTGATCTGCCCCGTGAGCGTAAACTTTTAGCGAAAAGAGGTGCACCATTGGATTAACATCCATAAGGATCCGTCTCTTATATTCATGAACTGCACTACAGACATCACGTTATCATGTGATGCCTATACCATCCCGCAAGACAAGATATCATGCCTCTTATTCCGTAATATTGTTGTAATTTTGTAATAGTGTAATTTTTAGCCTTATATCCTTCAACTGAAATACAACTTCCTAAGCAAGCAAATCACTTTTTACAAAGTCTAACTTGATAGAGAGGAGTAGAAACTAATAATCTTTACATAGTATAAAATGAAGCCGCTTACGCTGTCTTTTTGATTAGATCTTTTAAACTACGCAGCGGATTTTATTGCAGTTTTTAACAATAGATAGAGTGAGTCAAGACGGAGGTTTCTATATACAATACACGTACACCAGTGCGAAGCCGGGTAGTTAATAATATTATAAACACCAAGAAAGTTTGTGTGGATAATTGGAGGAATATTCGTCTCGTACTCTTTTAGCATAAAACTACTCAACGGATCTTAATGAAATTGGTACAAATATAGATCATAGCCTATACTGCCCGAGTATCCTGGGCAGATCCACAGGGCACAATTAGTTAACTGTAATAGAAATATAAAGTACTCCACGTGTCTTTTTTAACGTCCAGAGGCGTGTCAGTAAAAGCTGAGTCATGCAGTTATTTGCTGTTAGCGAGAAAACTGGAGTACATGAATATTAGACTTTAATAGCAAAGAAATAAGATTCATTAGTGTTCAGTCCAGTCCATAATTTTTTTTGTGGCCAAAAGAACATCCGACGCTGACGTGCGTCCACGTCACCTCGTATGTTCTGATTATCACAGAGACCGCGTGAGACAGAAACTTATATTATCTTAGACATGTTTTATCAATCGAAGTTCCTGTTACGATTTTTTTTTAATTTATATTATCTGATTTATTTATGCCTCGATAATGACGAGTTAATTTCGAATACTGAGCGAAATGTAGCTATGTTAAGCGTTCGCCAGAACATCGGCTGGTGACAATTTCTGTCTACCACATCTGGGATATGAGTCGTATAATATAAAGACATAATGTGCGGTACCCGTTTAATAACAGAAACGATTTGTATTAATTTAATAATTCATTAATAGAAATCGCTAATATAATATTAACGATATTGGTGGTTCTGCGGAGTAACACAATGTCTTTCTTATGATATGATTGTGGGTTCGATTTCCGCATAATATTTTTATTTTTATTGTTAGAAAGTAAAGATTATCGAAGTGTGATGTTTTATGGTCAAGAAACAGCTAAAGATTTCTTAATTTTGCAGCCGTCTGAAAAATTTGGATTTAGCAGTGGATTGAAATGAATGCAAATCGAATCTGAATTAAACATTTGGAATTTACGTTTTCTAAACTCGGTTTAAACAATCACACAAACAAACTTCTAAGTATAAAGATATTCATGTGTACATGTCAATAGAACATCAAGCATTTAGTAATGAAAATATTAAATATTTACATAAATCTTATAATGACTAATCGACAGACTATGTCTAAAATGGATATCCAAACATACTGTAACATGTAACATTGTTCGTAAACTAAATCAGATATAAAAAAAAACCTATCACAACTTACAATAATCCGATATCTATATCTGTCTTTTGTTGAAGTACAATAGATACACCTTTTATATAGAAATAATCTTGTTGTACAAGTTGTAAAACTGTAATAAATAATACGTTTTCTGACCACTATCTCATAAAAGTTGGTTTTACGAACAATGCGCTATGGGCATTGTATAAAGTTTTATACATTCAGCTCACGAGACGAGTCCTCCAAACGACATTAGTTATTTTATATTTTACAACTGTATTATTCCGTTTACACAAAACCAAGAACAATGTAAGAAGAATAGTTGACAAGTATATTAGTTTTTGTGGGTGATACTTGCTGCACACTGTAGCAATAATAATATAATATCTCAGAACAATTCACACAGCGCCATCTAGTCCCACGGTAAGCAGAGCTTGTGTTATGGGTACTAGACAACTAGTCTAAATACATAGACATGTTTTTTACATACATATGTAAAATACAAAGAAAACACCCAGACCGACACAAACAATCATATTCATGAATACATATATTTGTACCGTGCGAGGAATCGAACCCGCGATCGTCGTAAGTGGTTTCCTAAACCGCCGCGCCGAGGCTGTCAGCCGATCGAAATCTATGTATAAGCAATATCTAATACTAGATATTGCTTAGATATCTGATAGATATCATGTTATATCAAAGCAATAACGATTAGTGATCTATTTTATGTCTTGGTATCGTTTGATACCAATGTTTGCAACATTGGTGTCTATGTATGGGTGATGACATATTCAATATCCAGATATAGAGCGGTATCTATGTACTTAGTGCTAGATATCAGTTAGATATCTGATAGATATCATGTTATATCAAAGCAATAACGATTAGTGATCTATTTTAAGTCTGATCCGGTATCGTTAGATATCACACGATACATACTGCATATCAAAGATTTCGACCATCATTGTCAATACATTGATAATGAGATATGTTGTGTTAAGTATTTTATAAAATTATGACTTGATATGTAATATCTTTTAATTTTATTTTTGTTATGAACAAATTATTTATAATTTGTGGGTATCTAATTAAAAGCAAGAACTGTAAATTTTTAAATTTACGAGTTTAAAAAATTAAAAACATAAACGTTCTTCATTTATAAGTATTAAAAAAAAAAAAAATTTAAATATTGCAGTTTTGTCTCTTTCTATTAAAGTAAGGAAATAACTTGAAAACAAAGACTAGACTAGACGACCTCGGTGGTCTAGCGGTCTAGCACACCGCTTTACGACCGATGGTCGCGTGTTCGATTCCTCGCACGGCACAAACATTTGTATTCATGAGTATGATTGTTTGTATCGGTCTGGGTGTTTTCTATGTATAATGTGTATTTATTTACAAAACAAAAATGTATGTATGTATATGTATCAGTTATCTAGTAAATTGTTCTGAGATTATTATTATTACTAGATCATTATTAATTCAAATAAACTTACATTTAAGTACTGTTGGATAGTCATTACTTATTTTTTTCATCTACCAATCATTCAGAAAGCTGTACCACAACAAGAAGAACGCGCAAAAAACTTGCGTATATCTTTTAAATAATTTTGTTATACGTTTACATTTTTAAATTGAAAT